TTCGATGGGGCTCACCTGGGGCCCACGGGACCCAATTGAAATTTGGGGCCCAATGGGGCGGCCCCTACGATTTTCTTCAAAATTTGCACAGACACTCTCCTGGGCCCCCTCTTCAATCTGGCTTAAGAAACCTACCGGGGAATCCAAAGGAAGGGGCCCAAAGAGGGCCCCAAAGAGGCCCTTTCTAAGTATTGCCCCTAATTTCGCGACCAACCCCGGCAATATGCACATCATTGGAAAGAGCGTAATTTCCCAAACAAAAAACCCAAATAACTTTTTTCGATGGGGCCCATCTGGGGCCCACGGGACCCAATTGAAATTTGGGGCCCAATTGGGCGGCCCCTACGATTTTCTTCAAAATTTGCACAGACACTCTCCTGGGCCCCCTCTTCAATCTGGCTGAAGAAACCTACCGGGGAATCCAAAGGAAGGGGCCCGAAGAGGGCCCCAAAGAGGCCCTTTCTAAGTATTGCCCCTAATTTCGCAACCAACCCCGGCAATATGCACATCATTGGAAAGAGCGTAATTTCCCAAACAAAAAACCCAAGTAACATTTTTCGATGGGGCCCACCTGAGGCCCACGGGACCCAATTGAAATTTGGGGCCCAATGGGGCGGCCCCTACGATTTTCTTCAAAATTTGCACAGACACTCTCCTGGGCCCCCTCTTCAATCTGGCTGAAGAAACCTACCGGGGAATCCAAAGGAAGGGGCCCAAAGAGGGCCCCAAAGAGGCCCTTTCTAAGTATTGCCCCTAATTTCGCGACCAACCCCGGCAATATGCACATCATTGGAAAGAGCGTAATTTCCCAAACAAAAAACCCAAGTAACATTTTTCGATGGGGCCCACCTGGGGCCCACGGGACCCAATTGAAATTTGGGGCCCAATGGGGCGGCCCCTACGATTTTCTTCAAAATTTGCACAGACACTCTCCTGGGCCCCCTCTTCAATCTGGCTGAAGAAACCTACCGGGGAATCCAAAGGAAGGGGCCCAAAGAGGGCCCCGAAGAGGCCCTTTCTAAGTATTGCCCCTAATTTCGCGACCAACCCCGGCAATATGCACATCATTGGAAAGAGCGTAATGTCCCAAACAAAAAAAAACAAGTAACATTTTTCAATGGGGCCCACCTGGGGCCCACGGGACCCAATTGAAATTTGGGGCCCAATAGGGCGTCCCCTACGATTTTCTTCAAAATCTTCACAGACACTCTCCTGGGCCCCCTCTTCAATCTGGCTGAAGAAACCTACCGGGGAATCCAAAGGAAGGGGCCCAAAAAGGGCCCCAAAGAGGCCCTTTCTAAGTATTGCCCCTAATTTCGCGACCAACCCCGGCAATATGCACATCATTGGAAAGAGCGTAATTTCCCAAACAAAAAACCCAAGTAACATTTTTCGATGGGGCCCACCTGGGGCCCACGGGACCCAATTGAAATTTGGGGCCCAATGAAGCGGCCCCTACGATTTTCTTCAAAACTTGCACAGACACTCTCCTGGGCCCCCTCTTCAATCTGGCTGAAGAAACCTACCGGGGAATCCAAAGGAAGGGGCCCAAAGAGGGCCCCAAAGAGGCCCTTTCTAAGTATTGCCCCTAATTTCGCGACCAACCCCGGCAATATGCACATCATTGGAAAGAGCGTAATTTCCCAAACAAAAAACCCAAGTAACATTTTTCGATGGGGCCCACCTGGGGCCCACGAGACCCAATTGAAATTTGGGGCCCAATGGGGCGGCCGCTACAATTTTCTTCAAAATTTGCACAGACACTCTCCTGGGCCCCCTCTTCAATCTGGCTGAATAAACCTACCGGGGAATCCAAAGGAAGGGGCCCAAAGAGGGCCCCAAAGAGGCCCTTTCTAAGTATTTCCCCTAATTTCGCGACCAACCCCGGCAATATGCACATCATTGGAAAGAGCGTAATTTCCCAAACAAAAAACCCAAGTAACATTTTTCGATGGGGCCCACCTGAGGCCCACGGGACCCAATTGAAATTTGGGGCCCAATGGGGCGGCCCCTACGATTTTCTTCAAAATTTGCACACTTTCCTGGGACCCCTCTTCAATCTGGCTGAAGAAACCTACCGGGGAATCCAAAGGAGAGTGTCTGTGCAAATTTTGAAGAAAATCGTAGGGGCCGCCCCATTGGGCCCCAAATTTCAATTGGGTCCCGTTGGCCCCAGGTGGGCCCCATCGAAAAATGTTACTTGGGTTTTTTGTTTGGGAAATTACGCTCTTTCCAATGATGTGCATATTGCCGGGGTTGGTCGCGAAATTAGGGGCAATACTTAGAAAGGGCCTCTTTGGGGCCCTCTTTGGGCCCCTTCCTTTGGATTCCCCGGTAGGTTTCTTCAGCCAGATTGAAGAGGGGGCCCAGGAGAGTGTCTGTGCAAATTTTGAAGAAAATCGTAGGGGCCGCCCCATTGGGCCCCAAATTTCAATTGGGTCCCGTGGGCCCCAGGTGGGCCCCATCGAAAAATGTTACTTGGGTTTTTTGTTTGGGAAATTACGCTCTTTCCAATGATGTGCATATTGCCGGGGTTGGTCGCGAAATTAGGGGCAATACTTAGAAAGGGCCTCTTTGGGGCCCTCTTTGGGCCCCTTCCTTTGGATTCCCCGGTAGGTTTCTTCAGCCAGATTGAAGAGGGGGCCCAGGAGAGTGTCTGTGCAAATTTTGAAGAAAATCGTAGGGGCCGCCCCATTGGGCCCCAAATTTCAATTGGGTCCCGTGGGCCCCAGGTTGGCCCCATCGAAAAATGTTACTTAGGTTTTTTGTTTGGGAAATTACGCTCTTTCCAATGATGTGCATATTGCCGGGGTTGGTCGCGAAATTAGGGACAATACTTAGAAAGGGCCTCTTTGGGGCCCTCTTTGGGCCCCTTCCTTTGGATTCCCCGGTAGGTTTCTTCAGCCAGATTGAAGAGGGGGACCAGGAGAGTGTCTGCAAATTTTGAAGAAAATCGTAGGGGCCGCCCCATTGGGCCCCAAATTTCAATTGGGTCCCGTGGGCCCCAGGTGGGCCCCATCGAAAAATGTTACTTGGGTTTTTTGTTTGGGAAATTACGCTCTTTCCAATGATGTGCATATTGCCGGGGTTGGTCGCGAAATAAGGGACAATACTTAGAAAGGGCCTCTTTGGGGCCCTCTTTGGGCCCCTTCCTTTGGATTCCCCGGTAGGTTTCTTCAGCCAGATTGAAGAGGGGGCCCAGGAGAGTGTCTGTGCAAATTTTGAAGAAAATCGTAGGGGCCGCCCCATTGGGCCCCAAATTTCAATTGGGTCCCGTGGGCCCCAGGTGGGCCCCATCGAAAAATGTTACTTGGGTTTTTTGTTTGGGAAATTACGCTCTTTCCAATGATGTGCATATTGCCGGGGTTGGTCGCGAAATTAGGGGCAATACTTAGAAAGGGCCTCTTTGGGGCCCTCTTTGGGCCCCTTTCTTTGGATTCCCCGGTAGGTTTCTTCAGCCAGATTGAAGAGGGGGCCCAGGAGAGTGTCTGTGCAAATTTTGAAGAAAATCGTAGGGGCCGCCCCATTGGGCCCCAAATTTCAATTGGGTCCCGTGGGCCCCAGGTGGGCCCCATCGAAAAATGTTACTTGGGTTTTTTGTTTGGAAAATTACGCTCTTTCCAATGATGTGCATATTGCCGGGGTTGGTCGCGAAATTAGGGGCAATACTTAGAAAGGGCCTCTTTGGGGCCCTCTTTGGGCCCCTTCCTTTGGATTCCCCGGTAGGTTTCTTCAGCCAGATTGAAGAGGGGGCCCAGGAGAGTGTCTGTGCAAATTTTGAAGAAAATCGTAGGGGCCGCCCCATTGGGCCCCAAATTTCAATTGGGTCCCGTGGGCCCCAGGTGGGCCCCATCGAAAAATGTTACTTGGGTTTTTTGTTTGGGAAATTACGCTCTTTCTAATGATGTGCATATTGCCGGGGTTGCGCGCGAAATTAGATGCAATACTTAGAAAGGGCCTCTTTGGGGCCCTCTTTGGGCCCCTTCCTTTGGATTCCCCGGTAGGTTTCTTCAGCCAGATTGAAGAGGGGGCCCAGGAGAGTGTCTGTGAAGATTTTGAAGAAAATCGTAGGGGCCGCCCCATTGGGCCCCAAATTTCAATTGGGTACCGTGGGCCCCAGGTGGGCCCCATCGAAAAATGTTACTTGGGTTTTTTGTTTAGGAAATTACGCTCTTTCCAATGATGTGCATATTGCCGTAGTTGGTCGCGAAATTAGGGGCAATACTTAGAAAGGGCCTCTTTGGGGCCTTCTTTGGGCCCCTTCCTTTGGATTCCCCGGTAGGTTTCTTCAGCCAGATTGAAGAGGGGGCCCAGGAGAGTGTCTGTGCAAATTTTGAAGAAAATCGTAGGGGCCGCCCCATTGGGCCCCAAATTTCAATTGGGTCCCGTGGGCCCCAGGTGGGCCCCATCGAAAAATGTTACTTGGGTTTTTTGTTTGGGAAATTACGCTCTTTCCAATGATGTGCATATTGCTGGATTTTGTCGATGTTATAGGCCTGAAATGGTTGAAAACGTTTATTTATGCCCCGAGGGCATACTCCCGGGCCCATATATTTGAAGCTGTTTTGTTCGGTTCAGGGGGGCGCTAGCCCCCTAAATTTGGTACCGTTGTACGTAAAATTTTGTCTTCTTTCGAATGACGTGCATTTTTAGCTGTTTTGACGGCTAGAAGTAGGGTTTTCAAAGTTCGTCGATTGTGCCCTAAGGGCATACTGTTTTTTTTGGGATTTGTGGCCTCCCCTGATGGATTCCCCGCATTTTGGCACTAGGATTTTCGATAGAGGACACCATTCTGCACCTCTCCACCAAAATTCAGCGAAATCGTAGGGGCCGTCGATCCCTGCTGAATCCCTGCTGAACCCCTGCTGAATCCCTGCTAACTTCCGTTACATGTTCCCGGCGCAGTTTAACCTGCTCCTCTGGTGCCGTAGCAACGCATATCTCACATACACGTACTCCACAGTCCACGGACACGTCCGCTAGTTGTGCGACCCTCCTACCTCATGTCCGCTGCAGCACGAGACCACCTTCTTCGGGCCCATGACTGAGCGCTTCGCCTGCCGGCCGCGGTGCCGCACAATGGTCCCGAGTCACCGCACACGCAGCACGCTGTGCCCGCTGGCCGGCGACTGCGGGGACAGGCTCACGCCGCTGCCCCGGCCGGCCTCAGTCGGACCCGGGACACGCCACACGGCCGCGAGAACAACTGCCGCAGATCGTCAGCCGTGCGAGCTGGTTAGTTTACACAGGCGTGACCGTCCCCGGGTGGAAATGATCGAGTATATGTAGAGCGATAGTTGAGTCAGATAATTTTGCAAAAATATGGAGTGTGGTGAGTTGGGTTTGTCGAAGGTGGTCCAACCAATGCTGGTGGGCCAAAAGGGGCGACCAAAGCGAGATGCAGGTCAAGGAATTGAAGCATGCTGTTTTGCAATAGGTACTATAGTTCGTTTTTTTTTTCAAAAGGACGCTGGCTCCAAGCAGGGTATATTGAATTAGAGGGTAGGACCAAGTTTAGTAGGCATGATCTCAGCAATTATCTTGTTTTATATGGCGGTTTTCATTATCAGAATATTATTTTTGATATTGTGAAGTTTGTTTATCTCGGTTTTGCGAAAAATAGTAGGGCAACAAAGGTAAATTTCGCGAAAAAATAATTTTAGTTGGAAACATCCATTCTGGTATGCAAAATTCAGTATGAAGCCCAGTATATTGACCGTCTAGTGTGCTTCCAAGGCTGAGTACCTGATATCAACAGGAGTTGTTTACTATTTTGCCTTACGTTGCTAGGTGGTTGCTAGGGAGCTAAGGATACTCTCTTGCGCGATCATTTGCACTTATTTTTCCTCATGATATTGACATATTGCTGTTTCTGAGACCTAACTCATGCTATGAAAAAAGCAGTTTTCTTAAAATGTGTATTTAAGTGCCGTATTATTAACACAGCTCTGCAATTCGGCTTAAATATCTGCAAAATCCTGACTTCCCGGAAAATTGTTGGTGGTGATGGGGATCGAGCCCGTCGATGAAAAGTAAGTCAATATTCAAAGGCTTCAAAACGTTATTTTTTGTTGTTCTGTGAAATAGCAATGCAAAGACCGATGATAGTGCCAGTGTTGAGCTTTCCAATGAAGCATTGCAATTAGTAGTAAGGCTTTTATCACCTAAGATATCTTTCATCAAATATTAAAATTCTGCCATTGTCTTGCTGTAGAACAGGGTTACTTTCAGTCTCTTGGGAACACGATTTGCCGGTCTCAGATCGAAAAACACTTCAAAAAGCGGTAATAGACAATGAAATTTCCCTCCTGATAGCATCTCGGGTTTTTATATATCTTGTCTAGAATTTTCATAAATCAGACGTAAAAATGGCCTATTTCGTCAAATTCCGAATTTTTGCCATTGGGTCTAATGTAAAGCATGGCTACTTTCAGTCTCTTGGGAACACGATTTCCGTACCTCAGATTGAAAAACACTTCAAAAGTCGCAGATAGTAGACGATTTATTCTACAAGATAGCATCTCGCTTTTTTCTGTATCTGGTCATGTATCTTCATAAAACCCTCTCAAATATAGTCAACTTAGCATTAAAGTCTATGGATTTAGAAGAATTTTCATATCCGACTAGATTTGGGCTACCATGTCTGTTGACCGGGGGCGGGCTCCAAGTATGTTTTTCGAACAAGCACGTGTTTTAGCGAGCAAAACGAGCAAAAACTGAACCTGAGAAAATCGAACGTCGACTAATTTTAACATGTGATTTCTTCCCGATAATTTCCATATGTGCATTTTGGAACCAGATATGAGAACAGTGGTGACGTCATGCTGTCGAACATGTATTGCAATGTAACTTATAACTATCATGCACGGAACCGCTTACTCGATTATACAAGCTCGGCAACAGTGAAAAACTAAGTTCCACCCAAATTCGTTGACACTTGTCCCAATGCACGGTCATTTGGATGCCTGCTGCCACCAGTGACGTCATCATAGTATGTTCATTTTTAAGAAACAATTTCCAGCTACTTACCGTGCACAATTTGAAATCGATTATTTTTTCGGTAAGAAATTCTTGGCCAGACACTGAAGCTGCCAAAACTCACGTGAGAGCTTCGATATTGAACTTTGAGCCAGCGTCCTTTTGAAAAAAAAAAACGAACTATAGTATATGTGCGCCGCAACTAACCGTATCAAGTTTACTTGCAAACAACAAGTAGCCATTATCGGCTGGACACTGGACAGCCAAAGTGCAGGCAAGGCTCATAAAAGATGCACGGCTGGCCGGGGCTAGGACGATAACAAAAACGTTGGCTATTGACATTTCCAGCTATCGACCCACAACTGAGTGCGCGCTGACAGCCCCGTCACTCGGGGGTATGTTTAAAATTTTCAGCAGCCTCCAAATTGCAATGTTTCCCGCAAAGTCACACAGACGTAGCTCGCCTCTGTCCAGCTCGAGGCTCATACTACCAGCTGACCCGAACTGGAGCTAAAACGAGGGTTTTGGCGTCGGTGACCTAAGGTTCGGTCAATTTTGCGAACTCTCCATTATAAAATTGTATAGGTACCCCTGAGGTCAACCCAGGTCACGAAAGTCCCCAACAGTTTTTTTTCGGCTTTAACAATTGATAGAGACATGCTACAGCGATTAAAACACCTTAGATGTGTTCAGATCAACGATATGGATCGATTGCTATCGAATCGATCCGTATCGTTGTTCACCTGACCTTTCCCGGCAGGTCGTCACCTCGACACTAGCTCAAATTTTAAAGTTGATCTTCTAAGGTCAAAGTAGGGTCCATACTTCATGAGATGCGTCTCGACGAGGTGAAGAACACGATGCTAGTCCTAATTTCGTGCAAGTTTTGAGTCAAAGGTTATGGGAGAAAAATTATCCCGCAAAAAGTCAATGTTGGCAGCCTTTGCTCTTTGCAGGCTAAGCCGGCGGCTAGGTCAAATTTGAGAGCATTCTTCCGATAGATCGCTGAAAAGGTCGTATAATGCGTTTTTTCGCGGTGCTGTGACTCCGTGTATTCTGGAGTGATTGCCGATTCGTTGAAAATTGGCGAAGTAGGCAAACTTTGGTCTTTCTTGACCTCTGGTGATCTGACATTTAACCCGTGCTGTGCTGGGGGGAGCGTGTAAAAATAAATATGCAAAAATACGCAACACTTCTTTATACGATAGGCGTTATCACAAGTGTATTCGCGGCCATTGGGGCGACGTAAGAAAAGAAGAAAACAACTGGCCACAAGAACTTTAAATGATCAGTTAGCATGCACCTTTTTCTTGATATGTAGAGAATTTACCATTAATTGTTAGAGAAAATTGCATTTAAAATCTTCCATTTATGCTTTTTTCATAGTTTGCACAGTATGTTCTTTTACTAAGCTAGAAACGCTAATTAGAAATAGTTCCCGCATCATCAAGAACAATAGGGAAGGCTTGAAGTGAATACAATAATCTAAACGGTTTTGTAATCCATGTGAAGACACTTCTAAAATTGTCTGTAGAAATATTAAAGGCAAAAGTTCAACTTTTTCGCAAGACGGATGGCTATAAACCTATTCAACGTGTGACAACTCAGCCGGTATTTCGTCATGCCTACAGCCCAGCTTTCCCTAGTGACCGACAGAGGCGCTGCTATCGATGTCCGCCCGTGGCGCCTAACGAACTGCGATGGCCAATATACCTCCCAGGGGCCCATACCTCTCGGGTCTCCCCTACATGTTGTGAAAATTGCAGACCCAGGTCGTTCAAGGTCAGGTCGCCAGGTTACGTCAGGTGACTTTACCTAGGAAAAAGGTTCAAAGGCTCGCTAGAGCTACACCGACTGGACGATCACTTTGAAACTCTCAGCGACTGATATGAGTAACACTGCAACAGTATGTATAAAATGTATCTCTCGGATTTTTATATCTGCAACTAAAGGTCAGGTCAATTTTGTGACCTCTTCATTAGGTATACGTAAGTCAATGGGAGAAAATTGAAATGCGCCTCTTTTGGACGAATGTTGATCAAAACGCTCTCAAACATCGTTTCATAGGTAAACATGACTCACACACTGAATCGGAAAAATGCATCTGTGACCCCTCTGTGTGTCCCCGAGGTCATCTAAGGTCATGAACGGCCACCAGCAGTTCTTTGGTTACTACTTTTGATAGAGACGTGCTAGAGCGGTGAAAACACGTCAGATGCGTTCAGCTCGACGATACGGATCGACTGATATGCAACATGACTCATGGCCTTGACCTGAGGTCAAATTTTCCAAGTGACCTTTCAATCTCCAACAAATAGTTCATTCGACGCGTCTCGACGAGAGGAACGCGATGCTGCCAAAAGTAATGTCGTGGCTTTCTTGAGTCAAAAAGTATTGCCGAAAAACATTTTTCGTGAAAACGTCTATTTTTACAGTTTTTGCCCTCTGGAGGCTAAACCGTTGACCTGAGGTCAAATCTGAGAACAATATACAGAAAGGTCTGTTAAAGGACTATCGAATGCGCCCCCCCCCCCCAGCACGACACGGAAAACACAGGCCGGCGTGTTTTAAAGGGCTATCACCTTAAACCGCACGGCGCGGGTTAAGGTGATCTAAAAAGGAGCAAAGTAATCTCGTCACGATTTTTTGACCCTCTTTTTAAGACCATCCGATAGGCGTTATCACAAGTGTATTCGCGGCCATTGGGGCGACGTAAGAAAAGAAGAAACCAACTGGCCCCAAGAACTTCAAATTATCAGTTAGCATGCACCTTTTCCTTGATGTGTAGAGAATTTACCATTATTTGTTACAGAAAATTGCATTTAAAATCTTCCATTTATGCTATTTTCATCGTTTGCACAATATGTTCTTTTACTAAGCTAGAAACACTAATTAGAAATAGTTCCCGCATCATCAAGAACAATAGGGAAGGCTTGAAGTGAATAAAATAATTTAAACGGTTTTGTAATCTATGTGAAGGCACTTCTAAAATTTCCTGTAGAAATATTGAAGGCAAAAGTTCAACTTTTTCACAAGACGGATGTCTATAAACCTATTTAACTTGTGACAACTCAGCCGGTGTTTCGTCGCCTACAGCCCAGCTTTCCCTAGTGACCGATAGAGGCGCTGCTATCGATGTCCGCCCGTGCCGCCTAACGCTACTACTACGTGTCGCTAAAGCGCCTAGCAGCCGAGTTCGAAGGGCGTGTTCAAACACCTCTCCCAGCAGGGCGAGGAAATCCAGGAGCCGCTGGACACGCCTCTAAAGAACTGAGACCAACTCATACAGTCATACACTCAGGTACAGAATTACTATCGATGCTACCTTTTCGGAAGAAATATGCTTCGCTTCTAAATAGCCTGTCACATTTTCGGTGGATAAACGAATTACAACTCATGGTAACCGAGTGCCGCCGGTTCAAGACAGTTGACTCTGATGGACCTTTTCGCGTCTGCGGCGTCGAGAAAGGGCCTTGGCATTGAGCTGTATTGACATTCGATCATAGATGAGACACGGGTGATTCAGGGCCGTCCTTACTCAAGCGCCGTGTGCCACGGCTCAACATTCTCTGTCAGGCGCCGGTCACAAGGCTGCGGCAGCTATAGTCGGTGGATGAGCCGACACATCTGCTAACACATCGGCCCAACCCGTCCCCTCGCCTTCCGGTGCAACACACGCTGCACTAATTACAATCAGTCTACGTACAGACAGGTTCATAGTCCATTCAGAGTTCGACACTACACCGTAACGCCCATCTCCACCGCCGTCTCACCGACACGGGGATAATCGGCCAGGCACACTTGCCGTGTCGCACACAACACAACCTGGCCTAGCGCTCCCCAGGGTCTAAAGAGAATCAAACATATCCAGTTCCACGATACTAATCAGGTATCTTCATAACTGACGAACTCCGGCCCTGGTCGATCCGGATACCGCACTGGACGCTCGGGCCATTCAACAAAGTACAACATATTTGTCTTCGATCGCCGTTACGCGCACACTACGCATCTCCATGTCACGATTACCATTGCTCATTTAGACGGTTATCTCTCGTCATCTCTGTCAGTATCCGGTGCCGTCGGGGCTCCGCAGCCCAGCCTGACCTCACTGAGGCCCGGGCAGACGGCGGCCGACCGCTGAGATCGGGACTAGTCAGCAATAGATGGTCGAGGTCGGAGGAAGTTCGTAGCTGCCGCCGACACTGGGCACGGCCAGCTACAGAAGTACGCCTAGACTCAGGCAGGAGGAAAACGCACCGCAGGCTTGTAGGCTTGTTATGAACAGCAGCGCGAGTGACACGGCTTCTCCGCCGAGAACGGAGATCACGGCGGCCGCAGAGATCGGAGGCAGACGCTCAGAAGTAGGCGTCGTCGTAGGTGACCACGTTCCGCTGGTCCTTGTTGTGCAGACCCTTCTGCGAGTGGCTCGCCGCTGAAATCAGAGGCAGAACGTGACTGACAGGCAGTTGACACTCCAGTGCAGGCAGACTCGGTGTGGTAACATCAGTCTGAGCGTACGCAATGGGATAGTTTATGATGTCTGCAAACATGGAGACATCACAAAGTTCAAAGTTATTCTGAGTGCTTGGCCCAGCAGTACTACGCATAGAAAGCTGGTTATTACTGGTAGCGTACCGATGGGCTAAGTATGAGTTATCTGTCGATTGTCTATACGTGGTGACTCAAAAAGTCGTTTCACATTCTTTGCTAGGAATTGCGCCATTCAAGAGTAACAGAGCATGCAATTTGGGCAGAGCGCATATTACCAGATAATTAAAACTACAAACGATACAAATACACTTGCAACACAAATAGTATGTATAGTTGTAACAGAGCCTGCGCCTCACGATAAAATGGACGCATATTTTCTTCCTAAAAAAAAAAACTCAACGTACGCGCAAAACAAACTGTCAACACTGTCCGAACTCGCAGTCCTGATCAATACCTAAACTGGCGGTCCAGGCGCTATACAACGAGGACTTGCGTTTGGACCGAGGTAGCTAATCAAAACAAGCGCGGGCGTCCACTGGCGGCTCGAAGGGGTTCGAATCGACCAGCATCGACCGTGGCTGGCCGCCGTCCGTCAACGGAAGTGACACCATGGGTACCGGCAGTGACAACACGTCACGTGACGCCACAATGGCCGGCAACATGTGGTCACGTGGTCTGGACAGTGGAATATTCCATGCTCAAACGGCTGGAGCGAGACTATGAAAAACACGACAAAAACTTGCGAAGATGGATAGTCTCAACATACTATGAAATATAACAACAACAAATGAATTGGCTTCGACGTCACAAATGCAAACACTTGGAAGACAAACGACCACTAAATGACAACTGTTGGTCAAGTACCATTAGTCTGGCCATCAAAACATGGCATCACATCCAACAGAGCGCTAGTTGGTCCCATTTTTTCCAGACCCCAGTCTGTGAATCTGGCAGTCGGAGGTTTACAAACACACAGCCAGCAGAGGGCTTCCCGTCGGCGGCGGCGTGTGATAAGGTTGGCCAGACGTGGGGCCGACATCGGCCGGCCCCACCAGAGCCCAGGAATGCCGGGGGAGGATGAGGGGAGGGGCGTGGGCGGCAACAGTCACACGGATGAAACAGGGGCACGGTTATCATGTTATAAATATCAGCGGCGTTACTCGTTGGCCACCCTATATGAAAGCAAAACGTAAAAAAGCATCCGAGAGGATATCAAATCGTAAAACATGATTATGTGTTGTCGCCCGGGGCTTTAAAAACGATGCTTTATATACCGGGACATTTTTGCGGAGGACCGAGTGTTGGTATACACCAGATCCGTAGCAGATATAGCGAGGTAAGATCGTTTTCTCAAAAGCGCTTCCAAATTCATTCGATTTTAGTCACAACCGGACGGCAAGCCTTTCCTAACAGCACTCGCTAATATTAACAGGACAACTCGGCATGTGGTGAAAAACCAAGCTGAAGGCACGCGTTCGGCACTGCCTTGCTGTGTCACAGCCGGTTGTCTGGTTTGATCCGGATAACATCCGGGCGACGGACACAAGCGCAGCAATTGGTGGCTGATCAGTGGCGGGGCCGCGCGGAGTCACATACAGTCACAGTTCCGCTCCCGGTCCACAGACACCGACTCCGACCGTCGCTTCAGGGTCGGCTCCGGATGTCTTCTGCCTAATCTCTAATTTGTACGTACGTAATTTTGTACTTCGGATCGTTACCCCACGTTCAAGCCCGCCACGGGACAACAAATAAGGCGGCACTAAAGCCTAGATTATTACAACATTCACAGGGTGATACCGTGGCAGTGATACCGCGCCACCATAGCCTTCGTCAAAGGCACATCTGACGGTCCACAGCTGATCAGGTTCTCCGAATGTGAAGGCTGCCGAGCTCAGAGGGCCGGACATGTCGCAGCAGCTCGGTCTGCCCCGGCGGTATCCGCGCCTGTTTGGGCACGCCTACATTGACGGTCACGGCCGCTGAGGCGCAGCTCGTCCGGTTCACACCGACACCGGTCAATCTGAATTACAGAGCGCGCCGACAGCCGGGAGCCGTGGTAACAGGGGAAGCTGAGGAGGGCGGTGGCAGGTCGGAAGTGGCTGATTCCTGCTCAGTGTCGACAAGGCTAGACGGACAGAGGAAGCCTTGTTTCACAGACGGGAACGTCTTGGTCTTCTAGGCTAGGCACTCCATCTGTCATTGTTAGGTCAAAGATGAAAGCATACTTTGGCAAAATATGTTTAAGTCGAGCCCCTCACTACAATTGTGCCGCTCTTACTTTTCCTATAAAATACATTGCGGCACTCAAGCCAAAGAAGGAGTACCTAAGAATGCAGAAATTTTCAAGTGTGTGTGTACCGATCCCAACGTGTGCCATTGTTTTTTGTTTTTTTTTTTTTGGGGGGGGGGCAGTTCGGCCCTTTCGGTCTGATGAGACCATTTCAGGACCGGAATGATAATAGGAATAAGGGGGACACATTGGTCTGGGCGAGCACCCTGCTGAATCGCCGAGTCTGAGCTCGTCCAGAGGACTGGCCGACCAGCCCTCCAAGCACTCACCGCACCCGGCTACCGGCGTGCTCTTACGGGCAATCCCGCGTGGGATAAAGTAGCCCGTCCAGCCCGGGGCGGGGGTTTGAGGCGTGGAGGATTTGAAATTTGAATATCCTGAGGATGGAAAATGACGGAACGGTGTGCCACTGTGTGTCAGCCTCTGTGCTCATCTGAGAGGTTCGCACATCATAGTACACCATGACTACATAACCCCGCATTGCCCACCCCATTACCCAGCACGGCGCACCATCCACCACGCCCCAGTGTGCGTCCCCGATCGCTCACCGATAGTGCTCCAGGCGCTGGACGTGGACGCATCGTTGATGGGCTCGATCTTGGGCTGCCGGCGCGCGTACGACACCTGTAGCTGCACACCGTCCACCGTCGTACCGCTCATGGCGGCGATCGAGCGCTCCGCAGCCTCCATCTTGTCGAACGTCAGGAAACCGCAGCTGAACGAAACGGACGGAAGGTGGCGTTAGCGGCGGGGTAAAAGGAAGACAAGCGAGCATTAAGTGCGATATGTCGCACAAGTCCGTTCCAAATAGAATCATTTAACCGATGGAGAGACAAGACCACAGCCGGACACCGTTATTTATCGCCACTTTCATTAGATACTACAAAACAAGAACTGAGTATACACATAAAAGGAGCAGCTGAACTGAGTCGCGTACTGCACCACTACTTTAAGCCTCAGAAGTTTTGAGGAAAAATCCAGACAACTCAAACACTACTCACACCACCACTAAGCTCTCGAAAATTCTCCCTTTACCCACTTTTTCTCTATCTCCATGCTGATGTTGACGATGGCGCCGAACTTCTGGAAGGAGCGCCGCAGCAGCTGCTCGGTGACGCCATAGCCGCGCACGTACACCGTGTTGCCCTGACGCGGTTTGTCCGAGGCCACGTCTCGCGATGACGACCGCTCCTCCTTATCCCGAGCCGAGATGAAGCTGTCGTACAGCGTCTGAAAACGGAGCGAGCGGTGATGGGACTGCGATTGAGCTGCTGAGGGGATTGTGGTACTGTGATCGCAATAAACAGCCTAAGCATTATAGGAAAATTATACCTAAGTTCTCGTTAAAGCACACTAAGAGCTGATGTTGATAGAATAACGAAAAACATGTCGATAATTCGAGTTTTCGCATATAATTTCCTGTAAATTATAGTGATCGACAGTAAACGACCTGCAGTAATCACTCAATGATTCCTAAACATCTATTAATTTTTTTAACCATTTAAAGAGCCGCAACACCACTGGAATTAGGGGCAGTTCAAAACACCTCGTACACAGTCTATCAGCGGGGGTGATGCGTGCCCGAGACCGTGGTGCCCACCTTGACCTTGTTGCCGGGCCGGAACTCCTTGTCACGCTCGGCGGGCGGCGGCGGCGGCGGCTCGTCCTCCGGATGGCTGGCAGAGAACGGCTGGTAGCCGCTCAGCGCCCGGTCCGAGCCCGACAGCTTCCGCTCCAGGCCCTGAGGACGAGCGGTACCCGACGGTTGACAGACGGTTGACAGAAGTGTTCCGGATTACGGTCCCACAGCCAGGTGTCGCAGAAGTACCAACACGCCCGGAAGGTATTATAGCCGGTGGAAACGGTGAAAGACGGCGACGAAATGTGGATGACTGGTCTGATAGGCAGAAATTGGGACTAAATTTATTAGATACTGACCTACCACTAAGATGCTGCATAAATATAGGAGACTTTAATGGGTGAGGAGATTTCTATGCGTAAATCGCCTATGAAACGCTAAAACGCATTTGCCACTACACGAAACTGTGCAGAGTGCACTTACCTTAGAGCGTTTGAATGTTGTTTTCTCTTTGTTATCATCACGACGTTCGATGGATCGAATGGCCCCAGACCGGATTAGTTTTTTAGCATATTCCTTGGCATCTTTGGCTTCAGATGGCCGCTTCACTGGGTGAATCGGCTCCGGTTCCTGGCGAGGGGCCTTCAGTGCCTGCAATGCCTTTTTCTAGGGGGAAAATGACGACCGGTGAGATACATAAACAAAATGTGAAGAGCCCCTTTATGATCTAGCTGCAAGGAACAGTCTTTCTGACAATGGAAACATTCTACCAGTCCCATAGCTCAGTTAATAGGTGATGAAAGAAAGTTAGGGCTCCAATCATTTTGGTGCTCAATATGAGACTCTTGACAGGGATATTCACAATAGGCTGGAGCACCCACAGCCAGTTAAAGTCAGTTGGATGACATCCACCACATCAAAATTGTGTCACCAAATTCAGAATATCTTGATCTATCAAAATATAAAAATATGCATAACAATACAGTACCTATATCTGCAGCACCCCATACTTCAACTTGTTTCACGCAATGTATTTATAGCATTCATTTACCTTTTTGCGGAGCTTTGCATATTTATTTTGTAAAACTATTTCCTCCTCAGTTAAATTAGTCGGGAAATGAAGATACACCATGACAAATCCACGCAAGACTGTTAAGTCACAATTACTTCGCAACTTTGCATACACTGTAAACACTGTCTCGGTCTGATCAAAATTCAAAGTAAATTTTAGCTCAAAAGCAAATAAGTCTACACCAGCAAGCGCGAAATAGCTAATTATTATTATTGTTGTAGGTTGCAACGGTTGCAACGTAACGTAAGGCGAACTAAATACACAATAGCTATGAAGATTTGTTCGAATGCTGTCACAATATGACATCATTAAACTTGAACTTTTTTTGGAAGTTTTCTGAAACATTAAGTCTAAATTGCAATTTTGACCATTGAAAGAAAATAACTCAAATTTATTTTTGACTAAAATAGTCAGTAAAATTAAAATTAGAGCCAAATTTAACAATATATTTGCAGTGGAATTCATTTTGAACTGTAATATTCATGACGTCATTTTACCAAAAAAATAATTATCTAAAAATGTGAAAGGTAATTTTTTTTTTTTTTTTTTTTTTTTTTGCTCGGCCAGCCTAGTGCCAGTCTCGAGCGGTGGGACAGTTAACCCGGCAATTTTGGCCGGGATGCAAAAGTTACGTTAAAAGTTTGATTGTAGACAAAGATAATGTTCAGTTTTGAGTAATAGCACGAAACGGAGTGTCGTTGCCTAGCAACGATCTTCAGTGCCTAGCAACTCGCACAAAAAACGAGATGTTGAAAGCTGATTGCCTAGCAACCTGATACTGGCAGTGAACTGTCATGAAAAATGATAGCTGTTTGAACAGTACGCTCACTTTCGTGGGCTTCATGTGCGTACATCGAAATTAGTATTGTTATTGTGAATTATTTAGACCGAGATCGAGAGAATCGAGGCGAGATACCTATAGATCGAGGCATCGGAGGCATCCTCAATCCGAGATTGTGGAGCTGAGTGGAGTTGAAAAGACAGATCATCATATTCACGTTTTTTGCAGAAATGGCAATTAATTGTGGTGAGTTCAGATTTTATGGCGGGTTTTTGATGTAGGTACCTACCTATGTCCTATACCCCAGGACCCAAACTGGGAAATAATCAAAAAAATCCATGTAATTGCTGACATGCCTGGCGTAACAGGCAGATTGTGCCAAAACTTTGGCACAGCATCTCTTGTGATCTGTGTGCTGGAATTTTTGCCTGGAAGGTGCACAAAGAAATTCTAATGAAACGAGCAATTTAATAAATTTTGGCATAAGGCAAGATTAAGTATTAGCTTACTTCAGTCACTACTCACTCACTAACTACATTCAAATAACGAACATGAGACCATGACTGATGGGTATGTAGGTAATGTTCATCCAAGCCTACCTGGCCTGAGCTCCCTGGGTTGACATTTCAATTTGTGAAACCAGAGACAGCCCTTGGATGATGGGGGATACCTTGGTACCTACTTACTTAACTGAGTATTGCTGTTATTACCTTACCTTACCAGGTACAGGAATTTAGATGGCCAAACTTGGCCTGTTTGGGTCCTGATCTCATTAAGCTCTGTGCATGAGGACAGACATAGCTATATTACTTTTGCGTAAATTGTGTTTAGTGGGTTCACAGAGCTTTCAGACTGTAAGACCATACTTAGGTGAGCTCTTGTTTTCCAGCTTAGCTAAGTCAGTACCCTGGTGCTGTGGGTGAGAAATCATAATGGTTGAGCAGTGAGCATCAAGTCAGCAGTATCATGGGTAAAGATCAGCTGCCAGTGCCTCTTTCATTAAGTTTAATATAAAGTTTACACTGTTCTAGTTGATTTAAAGTCATTTTTGAGTAAAAGCTTTCTATAGCTCTGTCATTTACACTGCAGTGTGTTCATTTTTGTATTTCAGATACCCATGACTTCAAGATTCCTCAAAAGGAAGTCAAGGCCCACAATGAGCTAAAGAAATGGGCTGAATCAGAGGCTTATCAGGTGAGCTATTGATGTAGCAGCTCAGTACTTATAATATGCATTATCAAAGTCAATTGCTCAATTATTTTATAAGTGCCAGGTTATCTTCAGCTCAGTTATCATCCAATTATTTGCATGATTCAATTATCTTATATTTCTGGTTCGAATCATCATTTATGATGTTGGTGTGCTTAGTTTTTTTTTAGTGGTTTATGCTCTTCAAATCAACCATTCAACTAGCTTTCATATTGGCCTTATCATTTACATCAACTCTTAGCAGACTTCTGAATTTCCTCAAATTGCCTTACCCAATGAAGAACCCCCCCTTTCACTGTTTTGTCCCTAATTGAAGTAGAGATTTGTGAGAAAATGAGTGTTTGCTGTAAAAGAGCTGCTGAGGGCTTGTATGCCCAATTTTAGGATCTCTGGTCAACTGGTGACTTGCAAGGTCACTTCAATTTAATTTAAATTTTGTGATTTAAAATAGCTAGTCAAACTTGTTTCAACCTTCAGTGGTACAATTGAGGGCAAAAGCTCTAGTGAAAATAATTGCAACAAACTAAGCACTAGTTAGGTACCTAATCCATTCAATACATTACCTACTTGTTTTATTGTTAGGCATGAACAGTCACATTGAAGCATCGATACACCCGCGCCTAATCAGTCTCTCCGGCGCCAACACCCAGCATCCGGCTGATCATGCTGTCCCGTCTCCACAGGACATCATGGGCATGCTGCTGGCGGTGAACACGGCGGTGCGCGGCCTGAAGATGCCGCCCGCCACGGCAGAGGCTGGCTCCGACGCCGTGCGTCGTCTGGTGGCCCTCCTCGACCATATGTCCTCCTGGGTGGACGAGATCGCGCCCGTCGAGCAGCCCCAGCGCTTTGGCAACAAGGCTTTCCGCACGTTCTATCAGCGCCTTGAGGAGGTCTGTACACGTTGCCGTAGCCGGAGTGAATCTGTCGCGCGTAGGGCTGACACTGACACTGTAGACTAGTCTAGCATTTGGTGTCACTGGTAACCGGTACCCATATCCACTTTCATGATTTACGTTTACCTCTTCTCGCGCGTCCACTGCATGCGGACCGTGGAGTGGACACGCAGCAGGCAGCAACTGTGCCGCTGGCCGTGAACAGACCGACCCGCTTCTGACCTGTGTATGCTCGGGTTATCTGTGTCCACCGTTGTTTCTGTGTTACGCCCCGCTACCCTCTGCCCGCCGCTGACCATTCCTCACCGTCCTCAGCGCGCCGAGCCGCTGCTGCGGGACGCCCTACCGCCGAAACTCCACCGCGCCGTACCAGAGATGGCCGTCTACCTCACCGAGTCGGTCGGCAACGCCACCCGCATCGACTACGGCACCGGACACGAGCTGGCGTTCGTCATGCTGCTCTGCTGCCTGTTCAAGGTCGGCGCGCTGGCCGAGGATGACATGGCAGACGCCGGACTGGTCGTCTTTCCACGGTCAGTGCCTTCCTTCACCGGGTAATGCCTGCATTTTTTTAAAGTTAGCTCGAATGGCTAACTTAACGAATGGCCGGTCCCGTAGCTCAGTTGGTTAGAGCGTTGGACTCCGCGTGGTGAGAGCACGCGTTCCCGGTTATGACAGTCCGGGTTCGAAGCGCGACGGGCGCTCGACATTTATGGGCCTCCTGACAGGTATGGCTGCGGTTGGTGGCAGGCCGTAGCCAGGTGAAGTCAGCGAGGGGACCGGCCGTGCGCGGCTTTGTGCGCACGTTAAACTTTGGACTCTAAATTCTGCCATAGAATCGGAATTGCGCGATCGGAGGGTAGAGGGCAGGGTCATCGCAACAAGCTGCGCTTAGCGGTGGCTCTGTCCTTGTGAATCCTTCCCATCAAAAGATTCGGACTAAATTTATAAAAAAAATGGCTGACAAAGCTGGAGCCCATGCTAAGCAGAGTTTGATGCGTGGGTCGCGGCCTCCGTCGTCCGATTGGGCATTTTTGGGCACTCGGGAGGATTTTAACAGACCGTATATACCCACCGTAACGCTCGCGTGCCCCGTTCGTTTCAGGTACCTTCGACTGGCACAGCAGCTGCAGCAGCGCTACCGTATGGAGCCGGCCGGCAGCCAGGGTGTCTGGAGCCTGGACGACCACCAGTTTGTACCGTTCATCTGGGGCAGTGCGCAGCTGATCGACCAGAACCGCGTCTCACCCAAAGCCATCGCCAATGAGGACATGGTGCACGCGCTGGCTAAGGATTACCTCATCTTTGCCGCCATCGAGTACATTCTCAAGGTGTGTGCTGGGGAGACTGTGTGATGGCGGGAAGAAGTGAGGTGTTGGGCTGTTGCGTGACCGCTTCTGGGTGGTGATGCGACCGTTCGGGGGGGGGGGGGGATTTTAGCAGCTGGATGGAGGTGTGTTACGACATGTGCTCCTGCGTATCGCTCAACACGTTGTTTAAAGTCTGCACCGATATAATAACATTGAACATTATGATAATGGTTGAAGCATCGGACGTCATTTACCGGTGAATCTTGACCTCAACGAAGATGTACTGTATACGACGTGTTCTTTTTTAGGAAAGTATCTTGAAACTCGCTTCCGGACCGTCCACTAATTTTTTTTTTTTATAAATTTAGTCCGAACTTTTTGATGGGAAGGATTCACAAGGACAGAGTCACCGCTAAGCGAAGCTTGTTGCGATGACCCTGCCCTCTACCCTCCGATCGCGCAATTCCGGTTCTATGGCAGAATTTAGAGCCCAAAGTTTAACGTGCGCACAAAGCCGCGCACGGCCGGTCCCCTCACTGACTTCGCCTGGCTACGGCCTGCCACCAACCGCAACCATACCTGTCAGGAGGCCCATAAATGTCGAGCGCCCGTCGCGCTTCGAACCCGGACTGTCATAACCGGGAACGCGTGCTCTCACCACGCGGAGTCCAACGCTCTAACCAACTGAGCTACGGGACCGGCTAATAAGGTCATGGATGCCAATGAGCCAATTTGCTCATTGGCATCCATGACCTGCCTCATTTGTAACTTTTAGCCAACCGTGACCCGAACCGCCCCGACCCGTGACCCTTACCGGTCCGTAACCGACCTGTACCCCTTCGACCTATGACCGTCACGGTCCCCGTTCGCAGGTGAAGACGGGTCCGTTTGCCGAGCACAGTAACCAGCTGTGGAACATCAGTGCCGTGGCGCGTTGGACCAAGGTCAACTCAGGTCTGCTCAACATGTACCGCGGCGAGGTACTCTGCAAGTTTCCGGTCATCCAGCACTGTCGGTTCGGCTCCATCCTGAGTATCGCTCCGGCCTCTGAACGGATACACGAGCTAGTGATCCCGGCCGATGTGACGGGTGGGCCGCTCGGAGGATTGGGCATGCACACGGGGATGCCTGTGGGAAGAATGCCGCCAGCGGGAGCCATGCCGGGGAAAGCGCCCATGGGAAGGATGCCTCCACCGGGAGGGATGCCCATGGGAAGAATGCCACCCCCTGGGGAAGTGCCCATGGGAAGAATGCCTGGCACAGTCCCGATGGGCAGAATGCCGCCATCTGCGGGTAAGATGCCGCCGCCGCCCGGTCCTGCGGCG